AGGAACAAATATTTAGGCTAGTAATAGTTAACTGACAGAGTTAACAGTGTTGGCAGGAATATTTTAACAACTTTTCATTACTGCTGACAAGTCAAATAGGCAAAATTTAGATTCAGAATCAATTGGAAGGAAAAAGAATTTCAACTAAAACTCAATTTAAATTTAGTTTTAAAACATCCAAAAGAAGTGAGAATATTAATGGTTGAAACATTCCAGCATAAAAGACCAAGATGAGTATGTGAGAGGAAGTTTTGATAACTATTGATAACATATACTTTTATCTCATCAGTAACCAAAATTGGACATTTATATTGAAATGATTAAAACATTCTTAGTAAATATTGCAACCAGAATATGAGATTTAGCATATTTAGCTAATTGGATTACATACTTTGGACATGTTATCAGGAGGGACCAGTCCCTGGAGAAGGACACCATGCATGCTTGGTAGAAGGTCAGTGAAAAAGAGGAAGACCTTCAATGAGATGAAGTGACACAGTGGCTATAATAGTGAGCTCAAACATAGCAATGATTGTGAGGATGGCTCTGGACTGGGCAGTGTTTCGTTCTGTTCTGTTTTGCATAGGGTTGCTGTGAGTTGGAACTGACTCCATGGCACCTAACAACAGCAACAACAAAAGAATTCATTTTCATTAAATTGATCTGCTTCCTCTAAAGGATGTCCTGGATACTGTCACAGAACTCTTGAGAAACAGATGGAAAACCACTGACCATAGATCTTCAAAGATACCTTCTAGGACCTGAATTACAAGTTTTTCCTAGCATTGGGTAGTTTTGTAATGAAGTTTTGCTATCAACTTCTGTAACTTTTTTTTTCTTAAACATATGCTTACTAAGGAGCTAAGTGTAAGTCTTGAATATATATATATATATATACTTTTGTGTGTATGTATTTCATTTTAAGGAAATAGACCTGATGTTTTTTTATTAAATACAACAGATTAAGGAATACTTGGTTTACAAATTTAGGGCTCTTCCAAACCAAAAACCAAATTCACTGCCATCAAGTCAGATCTGACTTATAGCGACCCTTCCTTGGGTTTCCAAGGCAGTATCACTATGGAAGTAGATTGCCCAACCTTCCTTCTGAGGAGTGGCCAGTGGGTTTGAACCACCAGCCTTCTGGTTAGCAGTCAAGTGCTTTAAGCACTACACCACCAGAGCTCCTTTAGGACTCTTAGGTGAAAGTTTATTATTATTTTCTCTTTTGATAGCAGTTTGTTTTTTCTTAATATTTATAGGAAAATTACTTTGGGGAAGATGACATGTATATGGATTTTGAAGAGGTTATTTCTAGTCCTGTTCTTTCACTGTCAACGTCATCCAGCTCTGGGTGGACTGCTGTTGGAGTTGAAAATGACAGAAAGGAAAATGAAAGTTCAGCCAAATTAGTTCATCCACTTTCTTTGCGTCCTTGGGATATTACCGTGCTTGTTAATTTGTACAAAGTTCATGGGAGTCTTCCTGTTGTAAGTATCTACATATCAGAATAGCCTAGAGTATATTATAAAATCCACATAGTATAGGAGACTATGACTATATATGTATATGTATGCACACAAGCACTTATTAAAAAGTTATAGACTCAAGAACTTCTAAAATTACTTTTACTTTCATAAAGCTAACTTTATTTTCTATTTTTATTGTTTTAATTTTATTCTTTTCTGTTCTGTGTAACTTTTTAGAACATTTTATCTTGATGTTGAATTGTTGAGTTATAGTTAACCTGATAGATATTCTAGAACTTATATTTCCTTACCCTTTATCTTCAGACACTATACTAATTTGGGGTCTTTTGGTGGACCTATTACAAAATTCATTTCTAGGAGGTTCACCTTGGAGGTTGAATTGTGTCAGGCATGTTGGCTCTGCACTGTATCCTTATTCCCTCTAAGGATGCCCCTTGGACCTGCTGGGCTTGAAATGAGATTATCTTGCACTGAAGGGCCCAGGGACTTTTGAGCCAGGCCAGATAGGCAGGGAATGGCCCTAGAGCATTGTGGAGCATACAGGCTATATGTCATGAACCCAGGATTGCACACCAGAGAAGTCACTGCTGGTGACCTGTGCAGCTGTCCTTGTTGGGGTACAGAATAGTTATTTTTTTGTCTGTAAACATTATTTATTATTTTTAAAGATTCACAGTCAGCTAATCATGATAAGTGTAATTTTTATTTTCTTATACTTCCTTAATCTTTACTTTTTCTGTATCTTAATTTTGGCATTTTGTTTGCCTTGTAGCATGGGACTACTGATGGTCCTGAATGCCCTACAGCTTTCTTGGAAAGACTGTGTTTTGAAATGAAAAAAGGATTTAGGGAGACCATGCTACAACTAGTCCTGTCACCCCTGAATGTGTTTGTCAGTGATAACTATCAGGTAATGTGAAGATAAGTTTATATGAAAATTTAGGGATTTATTTTTTATATTTATGGGGTCAAAACAGTGTATTAGCTTCTGTATATGGAAAAAAAAAAAACAACTCACTGCCATCAAGTCATTTCCAACTCATAGTGACCCCCATTGGGTTTTTGAGGCTGTAAATTTTTATGGGAAGTAGATTGCCCAGTCTTCTTTCCATGGAGCAGCTGGTGGGTTTGAACCACTGACAACTTGATGGCAGTCTGTGAAACATATAGCTTTTTAAATTAGAGATTTTTAATTTAACTATTAAGTTTTCTGAATACGTATGAGAGAGAGACAAATAGATAATAGGGAGTTGATAATGAATTGTGTTTTACAAAAGCTCAAGATTTGTTTTTGCTGCTCTCTTTTGCTAAAATGTCCAAACAATTGGAAATTCTGTATCTTTTGTTTTTAGAAACAGAAAGAAATACTCTATAACTTTTCATATATTTATAGAAGGGAAAAACTAATTGTATAAAAACTGCTGATACTTTTTGTAAAAATCACAGCATGCATATTAGTATTAACCAGCTCCATGTTGGGAAAAGTTGGAAACAGGTAAACATAACTAATGTCAGTGAATTGTACACATGAAGAATGCTGAAATGGCAAAAAAAAAAAAAAAAAAATTGTTACATGTATATTTAAACCACAATAAATTTTAAAAAAAAAAAAAAGTTTTTTTTTTTAATGCCAAAATGGCTTATCTTGGCACCTACCACTACGTTAGGACCCCTTTCCCTACTTTGGAGGAGCTCTGGTGGCGTTGTGGGTAAGGCATTTGGCTGCTAACCTCAAGGTCAGCAGTGCAAATCCACCAGCTGCTGCACTGGAGGAAGATGAGATGATCTACTTCCATAAAGACTTACAGCCTTAGAAACGCAGTGGGGTTGCTATGAGGCAAAATCAACTCGATGGCAGTGGGTGGTGGTGGTTCTTCACTTTTAGTCAAATGTGTGCTTTAGAAGTATAAACTGATTTTAATGTAAGGCTAAATAAAATTATAAACAGAAAGATGAATATAACACCCAAAGATCATCAGATTTGCTTGTTCTTCTGGCAGTCCATGGTATTTTCCATATTCTTTGCCAACACCCCAACTTAAAAGCATCAACTCTTTGATCTTCCTTATTCATTGTCCAGCTTTTACGTGCATATGAGATGATTGAAAATACTATGGCTTGGGTTAGGTGCACCTTAGTCGTCAAAGTGACATCTTTGCTTTTCAGTGCTTTAAAGCATTGCAGCAGATTTGCCCTGTGGAATGTCATGTCTGATTTCTTGAGTGCTGCTTCCAAACAGTCATTAAAAAGACAGAAAAGGAAGAAAAGACCAAAATGGATATCAGAAGAAACTTTGAAACTTGGCTCATGAATGGAGAGTAACTAAAGTGAATAGAAAAAATGGTAAAGTAGAAGTTCTGAACAGAAGATTTCAAAGGGCAACTTGAGAAGACAAAGTATTATAAATAAATATACAAAGAAAATCAAAAGGGAAGAACACACATAACATCTCTCAATGTTAAAGAATTGAAGAAAAAAATTTAATTCTTAAGTTGCGATATTGGAGGATTCTATGAAAATAGCAGCTCTGGTGATATAGTGCCTAACTAGAACCACCAGCCACTCCCAGAAGGAAGACTGGGCAATCTACTTCCGTAGAGATACCACTTCAGAAACTTAAGGAGGGGTCACTATGAGTTGAAATCGACTTGATGGCAGTAAGTTTGGTTTGGTTTTTGATGGGCAAAATATTGAATGATGCAAGAAGCAACAGAAAGAGGATGGAAGGAATACACGTCACTGTACCAAAAATAATTGGTCAACGTTCAGCCATTTCAGAAGGTAGCATATGATCAAGAACTGATGGTATTGAAGGAAGAAGTTCACTAAAGGAATGACGAAAAACTCCATTCCCATTGAGATGTTTCAACAAACATGCAACTCTGGATGCGTTCAACAGAATGCATTCAACAGATGCATTCTGGAAGAGCCCTCCTGTTTATGCCAAGAAATTTAGAAGACAGTTACTTGGACAGTCGACTGGAAGTTGACTCATACTGAGTCGAAACTGATTTGAAAGCACCTAACAAGAAAGCGTACACGGATTTTTGATTGATGTGTATTTTAAGGATATTAGATGTTATCTAAGAAAGTGACATTGAATTTCCATTTTTAAAAGATCTCTGTGGTTGTTTGTGAAAGTATAGAGCATAGAGATGTAAATGTGACTACAGGCAGGCCATAAGAAGCATATTGCAAATATTTGGACCAGTGGAGATGGAAGGAATTCAGTTCATTTGAGGGAGATTGGAAAGTAGGTTCAAAAAACGTAATGACTGATGGGTAGAACATTTCTAAAATTACTTGATTCTTTATTTCTTATCATGTTCTCTGAAACTACTGTTCCACAGAACACCTTTTAGGACATATCCTCTATCTCTTTGAATAGTCTTAGAAGTTTTCTCTTTGAAATGTATACTGCTTTTTAACAGTGAGTATATACTTATTCTCTTAGTTAAAAGTATTTGTTCCTCCTGTATGTATAGTCTTCAAAATCTGTATGGAAGTTGGCTTTCTCTCTTCAGTGCTTCATTTTATGGTCATAATGGTGTTTGTTGGTCCCTGTTATTTTTTTTGTTTTTAGTATTTCGATCTTAATATTCTTAACTTTCCTACGAAAAGGTTGGTCTCTTATATTCTCTGTCAGCTAGTGTACTAGTTTGTTTTTACTTACAGAAACAGTCACCGGTCATATGAGATCTGCATACTTTTTAGGATTTGGCTATCTTGCTTTGTAGTTGAGCTCTAAAGAAGCTTAATTCAGACTTTTATGGGTCTAAGGTTGTGTTAGGAGCTTATGGATTCTAAAATCTTATTTTCTAGAAAGCATAGTTTTTCCTGTTCATCTCTGGAGGGCCATCCCAAAACAAAACAAAAGCCACAGCCATCGAGTTGTTCAGATTCGTTGTGACCCTATAGGACAGAGTAGACCTGCCCTATGGAGTTTCCAAGGCTTCAAACCTTTATAAAAACAGACTGCCCCATCATTCTCCCACTGAGCGGCTGGTGGGTTGAACCACCAGACTTGTGATTAGCGTCTCAGTGCTTTAACCACAGCACCACCGGAGTTCCTTCTGGAGGGGCAAAGCAGCTAGAAATTAAAATATGATTTTTTTGTACTTCTTACAGTCTCAATGTTATTGTTTTCAGCAGCGACCTTCTGTGGATGAAGTACTCAGGGAAGGTCACATCAATTTGTCAGGTCTGCAGCTGAGAGCACATGCTATGTTCTCAGCAGAAGGTCTTCCTTTGGGAAGTGATTCCTTAGAATATGCATGGCTAATTGATGTGCAGGCTGGAAGCCTTACAGCTAAGGTCACAGCACCACAGGTATGGATTCTCATCACATTGTCCCCTGCCTTATTTTCTCTTCCTTTCCTTACCCCTTTCCCAAAGAGTAACTTGTGTGTTGACTATGAATATACATTGTGTTTTTTGCTAATGGCTTTCTGATTGACAGGCAACCTTTGTTTTTTTTTTCATTAGAAGCCATTCTTGTTATTCAGAATGTTCTTGGCCAACATAGCCAAGTCAGAGACAAGTTTCACTTTCCTGAACCACATATAATTGATTGGTATATCATTACCACCACCAGTTAGCATCAAATTGATTCCAACTCATGGTGACCTCATATATGTCAGAGCAGAACTGTGCTCCACAGGGCTTTCAATGGCTAATTATTTTGGAAGCTGATCATTAGGCCTTTCTTCTGAGATACGTCTTAGTGGACTTGAACCTTCAACCTGAGTGCAATAACCATTTGTACCACCCAGGAACTTCGTAATGATATATCAAGAATTCAAGAATTTCTTTGGGAAAAAACTCAGAATGAGAACTCTTCCAGAAGTGATTGTTGTTGTTGTTATGTGCCATTGAGTCAGACCCAACTCATAGCAACCCTCCTTGGGTTTCCAAGGCAGTATCACTACGGAAGTAGATTGCCCCATCTTCCTTCCGAGGAGTGGCTAGTGGGTTTGAACCGCCAGCCTTTTGCTAACCAATGTAACATTTAAATTATATTAGCATTTCACTGTTGGAACATCATTTTTTTTCTAATACATGCAATAATTTTCTAAGAACTTTGCCTTCTTATGTGTTTCTTAAGTACAATTTGAAGTAACCCTTATGATGCTAAAGGAGCCCTGGTGGCACACTGGTTAAGTGCTCGGCTTCTAACTGAAAGATCAGTGGTTCAAACCTACCAGCCACTCCACAAGAGAAAAGACCTGACAGTCCCATGAAGAGTACTGCCTAGGAAACCCTCTCAGGCAGTTCTGCTGTACGTTATAGGGTCACTATGAGTTGGAATTGACTCAACAGCACACAACAACTTATGATGCTAAGGCAGACTACTTTATTTGTCATGTCCCAAAGCAAGGTAACATCTTTTATACCTGCTATTAACGATGTAACTTTTGGTTTAAAAAAAGAAAAAATGAATTGATTGGTAAATAAATCTGGTCCAGAGATTCTAGGTGTGATCTTCTTGGATCATTGTCCCCTCTGCCTTTATCAGAAACCTTAAGGATTATTTGCTTTTAGACCTGGACTATTAAAATTTAGTTGAATAGCTATACTCCTATAACATTTCACTCATAGAGTTATATATTTATGATAATGTGAATGCTTATTTTGGCATTTCAAAAAACTGGAACATGGTAGAAATGTGCATACTCAGTTTTGATAAACAGTTACAGAATGGCTATCAGGCACATATATTACTAGTAAGTAGTGGCAACGGAAGGCAAATAAAGAATGTAGAGACCTTGTTTACCAGAAAGAAGTTTTCAGAGGACAGCAAAAATTAAGATTCTAGAAACCGCTGGAAAATGAATGGGATTCAAAAAAGATATCTGGGAATTGAATGAGATTTCAGTATAAGATGAATATATAAAATGAATGGAAAAAGAATATTCAGTGTTCTTTGGCCTTGTAATTATTCTCTTCTTGTCATTCCCTTCTCCTATCCATAAATATTGAGAGAAAGATTGAGCAATCTACTTTCATAGTGATACTGCCTCCGAAACCCAAGGAGGGGTAGCTATGAGTCAGATCCGACTTGACAGCAGTGAGTTATCCCTAAATATACAAGTAAAAACTGAAACACATAACAAAGCAGCTTGTTCGATAGGAAGTAATTAAAGCATACTGACCCTGAAAGACTGGATAAAATTCCTTTACTCTAAGGCATGCTATAATCATGTATGTTTATAAATTGCCCTAATTAAAAAATGAAACATTTTTCTTTCTATAATAAAATCTTGGCATCATTGTTTCTCTAGGTGCTGTTAATGTTATTCTATTCTTTGTATGCTTTAAAGATGAAATTTATGTTTTCTAAAAGCTTAAATTACAGACTTTTTGGAGGGATGTATAACCATCCCTCGTATTTTTATTGTTAAGAAGTCTAATCAGTTATAAAATTAAGGGCTTTTCTTTAACCCAAGATTTGATTACTTAAGAATTGATATATGGTTAATTAAGTTCTTTATTTACAAATTTACATTTTAAACAAATGACTTTAACCATCAAAATACCTAGTTTTCCAAAATGGTTGCTCAGTGTGATACTCAAAATTTCACAGCAATGCTTGCTTTAGTAGTAGGTAGAGAATTTTAGATGCTTTTCTATCCAGTAGATTCTAATTAGTCTTAAAAAAAGAAAAGCATTCTCAAGGCTATGCCTTTTCTTTTTTTAAGACTAATTAAAACATAGCCTTGAGAATTACTTGCTTTAGAAGCTACTGAAATAGAATATATCTGTAAAAATAAGCTTTTATTTTGGTAGTACATTTTGTCATTCACAAGTGAAAAATAGCAGAAGCTTATAAATGATGTCAAGGTAGAAAAATCAGGATATTGACTAACAACAAGTAGATTATGTAGCAGTAGGTATAAGACAGCTTTTGGGTCCTTTCAAGCTGTGTTAATATCCTTAATCCGCTTTTGAACTCTGAACACTTGTTTACAATACTAACAGTGTTGTCACCCTGTCACTGGTTATTTGTAGTTGGCATGTCTCTTGGAGTGGGGACAGACATTTATATTTCATGTGGTATGTCGGGAGTATGAATTGGAAAGACCAAAGTCAGTAATAATATGTCAGCATGGAATTGATCGTCGATTTTGTGAATCCAAGGTACGTTAATAAATATGTTAGCAGTATTATAAACATTTATGAAATTTCTAAAATGAAAGATTATTTGAGATATCAGCTTTAAATCAAGTGCACATAGCCAGGAAGTAAACACTACAGTTCTATGTTTTTCTTTAATAAAATTATTTTGTAAGTTCTTAGCCAGTTATTATAAATGTTTAAAATATGAGCCAATTATTAAAATATACATATTCAGAGATAAATGGAGATATTATAAAAAGTTGTATCTTTTACATTTATACTGTTAACACTCATGTCTTATGTATCATTATACTTGTACCTTAGGATATGGCTATATATTTATATAGAAAATTTGGAAATTGAAGCAAGGGGAAGGTTAAATTCCTTTCATGACATGGTTTGCAGAACACTCTGGAACATACCTGTTCTCCTAAATTGTAACATTGCTTACTTATCAAAATCACAACCTTAACTATTCATTTTGAGTCTCAATAATAAATTATATGTGTATTCTGTCAATTATATTAACCTTTTTGAATGAAAATGGTTACTTATGATTAGTTTTTTAATTGTTAACAATTTAATTGCTGATACCTTCATTTACTATTATAAAAAATAAATTTAAGCTATTGATTTTTAAAAATAAAGTGTATATATAACCAGAATTTTATTTGTTTATTTACATAAATAGACATATTCAAGTACCAAAATAATAATTTGGTTATGATGAATTAAATGTGCAATTCCTTTTCATTTTAGTTGAGTTGCATTCCTGGGCCTTGTCCAACTTCAGATGATTTGAAATACACTATGACTCGTTTAGCAGTAGATGGAGCTGATATTTATATTGTGGAGCATGGGTGTGCTACAAATATAAAGGTAAATGTAGTTTTTCCTTTTTACCACACCAAATTTTCATTTCTTGAAATACAATACTTGCTTATAGTTTGCCTTCTCACAGAATACAGGCAGTCCCAGAATTCCAGTTGAGATTTGTTCCTAACTATGTCTTTTAGAATTTATCAGAGCTTCAGACTGGTTCTGCCCAGTTCAGTCATGGCCAAAGAAGCATCACTGGAACAGACCTGAATTTTTAAAGTAGAACCAGAAAGATAGGCAGAACAGGAAAATTATGGGTTGAAGCCTTGGCAGAAACTAAATCTCCCTTTTATAGAAGGGCAGTGTATGTGTTTCATAGCAACCAAATCTCTTGTCCTTGGATTTTGAGCACAGTCTGAAGTAGCAGTGTCCTGCTCAAAGATGGCAGCTGACCACACTGCTTTCAGTGTGTGTTGCTCTCGTACAATCCTGCCAGTCATAAAGTTTCATGCATCAGCCTCCTGAAGGGGCTCAATACAGTTCTTCCGAGTCTTCCATTCCAGGGCTCCGACCCATAATTTTTCCCATTCCAGGTACAGTGCCAAATCTGCCAAATTGTAAAACCTCGAGTCTGTTCATGTTTGTCTTCATTGGCCATGACAGAACTGGTTTAAGAGGCAAGTAGGAGTTGTCCTATAGGATATTTTTAACCTGGGGACTGCCTGTACTACAAAATTTTAAGAGGTGCTTTCCATATTTTACTTACCTATGTTGTCTTCCATTATTCTTTTTAAGCATACTTTTACTGTTTTTACTCTAACTAAATTGCTTTATGGCTGAATTATAAACTAATATGTGTTTGTATAGCAAGGATGTAAATTGGTAGCATTTTTAAAAGATTTGATCTTGAATGCTTTCAGATTTTATGCATTTATATTTCCTATCTGGCTTCTGAAAACATTTGCCACCTCTGCTGTATGGGTTATCATTTAAAATCTTGTTAAGTTTTAACAACTCATCTAACGTTTCTTTCCTTCTTCTCTATTGAACTTTTCATCTTATTCTCTTATTTCTTATTAAATATTTAATTATTTGTATTCTATTGTTGGACTTACTATTTCAGTTCCCCTCCTTTCTTTTTCCTTTGTCTTTCCGCATTTTGCCTTTCCTTTTTCATTACCATTGTCATTTGTTCTTCTTTCCCTTCTGTCCTTCTTCTGCCTACCTTTTCCTCTTTACAAAATGAACCATGTATTCTGTAGCTTATTCCAGAGCTTTGAATTGGTTCTTCCCAGTTCAGTCATGGCTGACAAAGTGAAAGTGGAACAGACTCAAATTTGTACATTGTGGGTATACTGAAACAATAACTGTAACAAGAAAAATTGCTGGTCAGTACCATTCTAGAAACTTAATCTCCTTCCTAGAAAACAAGGGCAGCATGTGTGTTGCATAGCAACCAAATCTTTGGACCGGCACTATCCAAACAATGGTTCCCAGTTTAAATATGGTGGCTAACTGTTTCGCTTTGTAGGTCTGTTGCTCTCCACAGTCCTGGCAGTAATCTAGTTGGTATACTCACATTTTACACATTCAGGTCTGTTCCAATTTCACTGCATCAGCCAGGAGAGAACTGGTTTAACTGGTTAACACCTCTAGGTTATTCTATGTTACTTAAAAATACAAAAATTATATTTTGTTTCATTTTCTTCATTCAACTTTAGATGGGTGCAATTCGGGTTGCAAACTGTAATCTCCACAATCAGTCGGTTGGGGAAGGAATAAGTGCTGCAATTCAGGATTTTCAAGTGAGACAATACATTGAGCAATTAAATAATTGCAGAGTTGGACTCCAGCCTGCAGTGCTACGGAGGGCCTATTGGCTTGAAGCTGGGTCAGCCAATTTAGGACTTATTACTGTTGATATTGCATTAGCTGCTGATCATCATTCTAAACATGAGGCACAAAGACATTTCTTAGAAATTCATGATGCCAGAACTAAGAGGTAAGTGAAAATTTTAAGAATGCATTACAGGGTAAGATGGTAAATCTAGATGATTATAGAAGAAACTCTACTGTTAGGAATAAGTGAAGAACATTTCAAATAATGGCTTAATATGATTGTACTGCTACATCTCAGTGGGACGTGTAAGGACCTGATATTTAAGGACACACATTATATCTTTCTTCTCTGGTGATGGTGTGGTTGCTGGAAATCACATTATTTTCTGATGTGTTTCTAAGCCTATACTATACCTATATCTATATATCTATGTCAACAGTGAAACAAGTTTAAAGTACTCATATCCCGGTAACATTTTATAAAGCACTATCCTTTCTCACTCACTCTGGCCCTCTACTTCCTGTTCATTATTCCTACAACCCACCATTATTACCAACACTTACTCTGTAAAATTCCTTTTGTGGGCCTTCAGAACTGCAGGAAGATTTTTTAAGGGTACATAGACCTGTTCCCATTGGTACTCAAGAAATCATTATATTTGCCTTTTTAAAATTTGCCAGAGCATATTATTGAATCTCACTTAGTTTTAAAAAGACAGTATGACCTCTTCCATCCTCACCTACGCCATTTAAAGTAAGTACATGTTGTTGTTGTTATGTGCCGTCGAGTCGGACCCAACTCATAGCGACCCCTCCTTGGGTTTCCGAGACAGTATCACTATGGAAGTAGATTGCTCAGCCTTCCTTCCGAGGAGTGACTGGTGGGTTAGAACCGCCAACCTCTCGTTAGCAGTCAGGTGCCTCAGGCACCACACCACCAGAGCTCCTTCCACTATGCACTAACTATCTCACTGCTGTAGCGACCCCTCCTTGGGCTTCCAAAGCGGAATCTCTAAGGAAGTAGATGGCCCAGTCTTCCTTCCGAGGAGTGGCTGGTGGGTTTGAACCACCAGCCTTCTGGTTAGCAGTCAAATGCCTTCGGCACTAGGTCTCCTTAAATATTGTATAGGGCATACTTATTTGCTAAATCTTGCAACCTTATCTCTAAATCTCATGGGGTGACACAAAGGGATGGATGCCTGCACACACAGTGAGTTGTGTTATGGGGAGGAACACTGAGTAAGGGAATCTACTTCTTTTATAGTAAACGGAAGCAGCGTTGTTCTTTTCCAGGCTGAAACATTTCCTCATCCCTCAAAGTTGCCTGCTGCAAACACACCCTGAGAAATGGCCTAGGCAGAGTAGTCAGAGCCTGCATTCTGAGCATACCCAGTAAAAACACACCAGGATGTTTAGGGGCTCATCATGGTGGATTGCATCTCCCTACATGATCTTCAGCTTTGACTGCTTTTGTGAATATTAGATTGCTAGGAGTTTTTCAGAAAATATATATGCATTCCTGATATTACTGGAAAAGCTACCCGCCTTATAAGCCGTTAGGTTCATTAGATTAGTATTTAAGTGTAGTCCCAAAGCCTGCAGCATCAGGAGCTCCTGGAATATTATTAGAAATTTACATAATCAGGCCCTGCCCAGACCTACTCAATCAGAAAGTCTGGGTGCAGCACCGCAGTCTATAGTTTAACAAGCTCTCCAGGTGATCTAGTGCAAACTGAAGTTGAGAATTAGTCATTAGATTATGTAAAATTAGGGAAGAGGAGCTAACATTTGTAGTGTAAGTATGATGGTAGTCCAGATTTTGCATCTGATACTTTACTTCATCACTTCATTCTCACAGCGGTATATGTGTATGATTTTCCCTTCCCCTCCTTTGGTGTTCAGTGTTCTGTGTTAAACCAGAAGTCCACAATTTAATCTAAATCATTTGTATGACTGTTTATGTGGTAAGTAGTGTAGAAGAATGTATTTGCATTCAATGACAATTTTTTTTCTCAAGCTCCTAACTACTTTTTCACTGCAATCTTGTATGTCATTTAATGAGATTAAATTATATAAAACTGTCATTTTATAAATGAGGAAACTGAGGCTCAGAGATGTTAACTAACTTGTTCAATGTTCTAAAGCTAATAAGTAGCATAACTGGAGTTTGAACCTACGTTTAGCTGACTCCAAAGCCATGCTTTCTGCTGAACTTTTTGCTGTACAAAATAATTCTATGAAGTACAAGATGGCCTTTTATTTTGATAGTTCTTAAATTATCATTGCTGAATGACTAAATTTTGATTTTTTTTTTAAAATAGAAAAGTGATTTGAAATTGATACTATCTAGTTGAAGTAATACCTCAAAAAAAACCCAAAAAGACTGAAAAATATATATTTGGATCACTTGCTCAGAGCCTGAAGAATTTTGCATGCATTTTCTACCATTGTCTCTATTGTTAATATCTCATTTGTAGTTCTTATTTTAGTGAAGTGGAACTAGATCATTTTTTTTTCTCTAGAATATAAGGTGGTACATTATTTTGGTTTCATTGATAGACAATCTCTTACCACTTATTTATAGTAATTTGGTATATTAAATTTGTCATTAACATATCCTCTGAAATGCTAAAAAAATAAGGTCTCTTAAACCATATATATTTCAGCATAATATAGTTTAATCTATTTATAGATTAATATCTTAAAATTGTAATATTTTTGACAGTATTTATTGGTGTTTATAAATTGGATTTAGCAGTCTGATTTTCATGTTTTCTTGTTTTAACTCTTTGTTTTTATATAGATGTACACTGTATTTTTATTACTGTTCCTTCATATTTCTATCTCACCTTGGTAAGACTTTCCTGTTCTTGTTTTTTGTTTGTTTTGTTTTGGGTTCCATTTAGGTTGTGGTTTCTGTGGCCAGATGATACCCTGAAGAATAAGAGGTGTAAGAATAAGTGTGGTTGTCTTGGTGGTTGCAGATTTTTTGGTGGCACAGTAACTGGCCTAGATTTCTTCAAACTTGAAGAGTTGACACCTTCCAGTAGCTCTGCATTTTCAAGTACAAGTGCAGAGTCTGATATGTATTATGGACAGTCACTTTTACAGCCTGGAGAATGGATTATTACTAAAGAAATTCCTAAAATTATAGATGGTAATAAAACATGTTATTTTGTCACTTGTGCTAATCTTTCATTATCTTCACCCCTCACCATTCTGAAAGAAGCTCAGTTTTACTTTGTTCAACCCAATTAATTATTTTGAGTAGTCTTGTGAGTAGAATTCAGTGTAATTCACTTTTGTTTTGCAGGTGACTTAACTAACGCCAGGTAAGAATAGAAAGTTTTTCAGGTCCACTATTCAGATCTCCTGTTGTTGATTTGGTTTACTTTTTTAGCCAAGCTTATTCTAAATATTTCCTCATATATCATTATTTCCTATAACCCATCTTTCAGTATATACTTAGAATAGCTGTGCTTCAAAGTAAAGTTGTTTTAGCAGCTGAGTTTTATAAATGGACTTATCAGCAGTAATATATCTGTGCCCATGTTACCAACTGTTTTTGCAAAATATTTTGTAATGACTATTTTCATTGTCACTGGAAACTGAACTTGTTAACAAGATAAATCCGCTCCTTCTTTAGTCCATTGAGGATAACTTTGCAAATACACTAACTTGATATTAGCAGTGAATGATGGCTTTAGATGTATCTAATGTTATTTCTCTAAAGACTTTAGAAATCAGTTTTCCTTTGGGTTTCTTTGTTGTGCATCCCTACAGTTACATGCAGTATACACTGGTTAAATTTGAAAACATTAATTTAGCTCTGCCTTTGTCAGTAGACAGAAATGGGAAAGAAATAGTTTAAGGGTTTATCAGATTGATTTCCCATGTATAGGTGCTCTTAGAGGAAAGAATAAGCCTATATATGCCAAATTCCTGTTTAAATGATTTTTTAGTGAATATTATACATAAGCATGCATTATTAATAAAGACTTTGCTTGATTTCTTCAGGTGCATATCAAAATTTGAACTATCACAAACTCAAGGAAAGAAATCTACAGGAAATTTATACATGATGTGAAAAAGAGAGGAGAATAGTAATAAACTCCCTCTCTAACATTGAGCAAAACAAAGCTCATTATTATTATTATACCGTATAATAGGGAGTATCTCCTGGTGATTCCCTCAGGAATGAGTTATAATTGCCATAAATTTCTTGTCCAGGAATGATTAGAATTAGCTCTTTTTAAGTATCTAATTTTTTTATTGCTCTCTGCCAGGAGTTGAGTATAGAATTGAGGAGGGCATGTTGGTAGAACTGAGGGTCTACCTGAAATATCAGTGACCGCTGACCAGTTTACTATCACTTAGAAGTGAATCAAACTCATTTTTTTTTTTCCTATTCTAATTTTCACATTTGTGGTAAGCAAATAGTATTACTTTTATTGTAGTAAGTTTTCTTATCCCTTAAGTTGCTTTGAGAACGACATTCTGTTCAGGAGTTATTTTCTCCTGAAGGAAGATTCCCCTTTGCTCTTAACTTGGTAACACAGGGATGACTGAGGGGTAGGAATGTAAGTAATGGAAGGTGGGTAGGAATTATGGTTTAGATCTAAGCAGCTATAGAACTTTACTTTTATATACCTCCAAAATTTATGCAATACATCACAGAACTCTTATAAAACCCTGAAATAGTGGTGCTTCATTCTAGCTGAATGGTCATTTATTTATTTATTCATTTAAAGCAAAACAACAACAACAACAAAATGTACTGGTATTTTCTGTGTACCAGGCATTGTTATGTGGTGGTGGTGGTTGTTAGGTGCCATTGAGTTGATTTTTACTCATAAAGATCCTATGTAACAACAGAAAGAAGTGCTGCCTGGTTGTGCACCATCCTCACAATCCTTTCTCTACTTGAGCCTATTGTTGCTGCCACTGTGTCAGTCTGCCTCATTGAAGATCTTCCCCTTTTTCTCTGAGCCTCTGCTTTACCAAGTATGATATCCTTCTCCAGGGACTGGTCACTTCTGACCACATGACCAAGTAGGTGAGACAAAGTCTAGCCATTCTCATTTCCAAGGAGCACTCTGGACAGAGTTGTCATTCTTCTGGCAGTCTGTGCTATTCTCACTATTCTTCACCAACACTATAATTCAAAGGCATGTACTCTTCTTTGGTCTTCCTTATTCATTGTCCAGCTTTCTTATGCATATGAAGTGATTGAATGCCATGGCTTAGGTTAAGCTCACCTTAGTCTTGACTTTGCTTCTTAACACTTTAAAGAGGTCTATTGCAGCAGATCCTTTCTGTACAATACAGTATCTGATTTCTTGACTGCTACTTCCATGGGCGTTAACTGTGGATCTAAGTAAAATGAAATCCCTGATAACTTCAATCTTTTCTCCATTTATCATGTATTAATTATTGGTCTAATTGTGAGGATTTTTGTTTTCTTTATGTTGAGGTGTAATCCATACTGCAGTCTTTGATCTTGATCAGTAAGTGCTTCAAGTTATCTTCACTTTCAGCAAGCAAAGTTGTGTCATCTACATATAGTAGATTGTTAATGAGTCTTCCTCCAATCCTGATGCCATGTTCTTCTTCATATAGTCCAGCTTCTTGGATTATTTGCTCATCATTCAGTTTGAATAAGTATGGTGAAAGGATACAACCCTGACACACACGCTTCCTGATTTTACACCATTCAGTATTCCCTTGTTCTGTTTGAAGGACAGCCTCTTGGTGTATGTACAGGTTCCTCATGAGTATGATTAAGTGTTTTAGGATTCCCATTCCTCACGTTGTCCATAATTTGTTTTGATCCACACAGTAAAATGCCTTTGCATAGTCAATAAAATACAGGTAAATGACTTTCTGGTGTTCTTTGCTGTCAGCCAAGATCCATCTGACATCAGCAGTGATACCCCTCATTCTGCGTCCTCTTTTGAATCCAGCTTACATTTATGGAATATATTATTGTTAATATATTGCTGCAACTGTTTTTTAATTATCTTCAGCAAAATTTTATTTGTGTGTGATATTAATCATATTGTTGGATAATTTCCACATTCTGTTGTGTCACCTTTCTTTGGGGTAGGCACAAATATGGGTCTCTTCCAGTCAGTTGGCCAGGTAGCTGTCTTCCAGGTTTCTTGGCATTGATGAGTAAGTACCTACAGCACTGCATCTGTTTGTTGAAACCTCTTAATGGGTATTACATAAATTCCTGGGGGCTTGTTTTGCACCAATTCCTTCAATGCAACTTGGACTTCTTCTTTCAGTACCATTGGTCCTTGATCATATACTCCCTCCTGAAATATTTGAACATCAATCAATTCTTTTTGGTATAGTGACTCTGTGTATTCTTTCCATCTTCTTTTGATACTTCCTGTATCATCCAATATTTTGCCCATCAGTATTGCAATTCAAGGCTTAATTTTTTGTTCAGTTCTTTCAGCTTGAGAAATGCTGAACATGTTCTTCTCTTTTGGTTTTCTAATCCCAGGTCTATGTATTTTTCCATTACAATTCTTTACTTTGTCTTCTAGAGCTGCCCTTTGAAATCTGCTCAGCTCTTTTATCTTGTCGTTTCTTCCATTCACTTTAGGAAGAGCAAGTTTCAGAGTCTATTCTGGCATCTATTTTGGTATTTTCTTTCTTTCCTGTCTTTTTAATGACTGCTTTCTTCTTGTATGATGTTCTCAATGTCATCCCACCACCTGTCTGGTTTTTGGTGTTCACTGCGTCGATTCTTTTCTTCAGCTTATCTCTAAATTCAAGTGGGATATAATCGAGATCATATTTTGACTATTGTGGACTTGTTTTAATTTTCCTCAGCTTCAGCTTGAACTTGCATATGGGCAATTGATGGTCTGTTCCAAAGTCAGCGCCTGGCCCATGGCCCCTTTCCACAGATGTAGTCAATCTGATTCCAGTATATTCTATCTGGTGACAACCACCTGTATAACCAGCATTTATGTTGTTGAAAAAGGTACTTACAAGAAATAAATTGTTGGTCTTCCAAAATTCTGTCATGCGGTGTCTGATGCCATTTCTATCACCAAGGCAATATTTTCCAGCTACTGATGATTCTTCTTTGTTTCCAACTTTCACATTCCATTCACCAATAATCATAAGTACATCTTGATTGCATATTGGATCAATTTCAGACTCCAGTAATTGGTAAAAATATAAAATTTCTTCATCTTTGGCTTTAGTGGTTGAGGTGTAAATTTGAATAGTAGTAGTAGTAACTGGTCTTCCTTTAGGCATATGGATGTTATCCTATCACTGACAGCATTGTACTTCAGCATTGATCTTAAAACATTCTTTTTTATGATGAGTGCCACACCATTCCTCTTCAGTTTGTCATTCCTAGCATAGTAGATTATATGATTGATTCAGAATGGCCAGCACCAGTCCATTTCAGCTCACTATTACCTAGGATATTGATCTTTATGTGTTACATTTCATTTTTGACAACTTCCAATTTTCCTACATTCATAATTTGTACATCCCATGTTGTGATTATTAATGGATATTTACAGCTATTTCTTCTCATTTTGAGTCATGCCACACCAGCACATGGAGTCCCAAAAGCTTTACTCCATCCATGTCATTAAGGTCAACTCTACTTTGAGAAGGCAGCTCTTCTGCAGTCTTATTTTGAGTGCCTTCCAACCTGAGGGGCTCATCTTCTCGCATTGTATCAGACAATGTTTCAGGGCTATTCATAAAGTTTCCTAGTAGTATATCAAACAGTGTTTTACTTCTATCATAAGGCTTTCATTGGCCTATTTTTTGAGAAGTAGATGATCCCTTCCTTCTTCAGAGTGTGTCTTAGTCTGGAAGCTCCACTGAAATCTGTCCACCATGGGTGGACAGCCTCACAGCAACACATAAGCCATCACAGTACAGGAAACTGACAGTTGAGTTCTGGAATATTGTTCTAGATGCTGGAAATACATCATTATTCCTTGAGAAGGATACATAATTACTTATACAGAATCTGACCAGGGTAACCTGAATACAATCAAGAATAAAAAAATAGATAAAATGACAAACATCCTTTAGAAAAAAAATGGCAGGAGGCTTTCATATTTTTCAAAAATGGTCCTGTCATAAAAGACAAAGAAAGAGTAAAAGACTGAGGAAGTGTTACCAGATTAAAGAAAACATGACAACCAAATGTATACGTGGTCCTAGATTAGATCCTGTGTTTGAGGGGGCACTGTGCTTTAAAGGGCATTATCAAGTCAATTGAGAAAATTGAAAAACATGGTAGGTAAAAGTATTGCCAATATTCAGACATGGGTATATGGATGGATAGATGGGTGGACAGGACCTAAAT